GAGGAGGAGGAGGAGGAGGAGGAGGAGGAGGAGGGGGGGAGGACAATTTGCACAGTGCGCGTCACGATCTACGAATGACTCACTCTCAGACGGCGCTGGCGCGAATCGTGACGTTACCCTGGGGGGGTCGGGCGGCGGCGGGGCTGGTCGCAGGCGTTCTCGCGAATAACAAGGAAACGGACTCCCCTTTCCCTCTCCCCCCCCCGCCTCTCGCCTTCGTGGGCGAAAAACGTATTCGTATCTGCGGCATCGCTGTCCGGGCCCCTGGTTCGCGACCCCGCGGGTACGGTTTTTGTTCGAGGATATCCCGCTCGGAACGTAGCCTTGTGACAGCATAATTATCCGCGGGAACGCGCCTCCGAACCCAAACTGCGAGGGCGCGGATACGGATGCGGCAGGTTTTCGTCGTGTCGATTGGCGGCGATCCCGCCTTCAGCGTTCATTATTGAATGCCGCTGGCGATCCACAATCGGTCATGCTGACCAATCTGACGTTTCGGAAACGGCCGATCGTTCACAGGTGAACGATCCCCGCGGTGTCAGGAGCAAGCGTCGGGGTCGACGCGACACGAACCTGCCGTATGTTCGCCGCGCGTGACGCCCTCCCCGACCGCAGGAGCGGCAGGCGCGCAGGCAGGTGCAGCTCGCCATGCGCCTCGCCGAACGGCTAGACTCCGCGGGCGACGGTGGCGATGCGGCGGCGCGCGAGGAGCTCCTCCCCCTGGTGTTCCTCGTCTTGCTCCTCCTCGTCCTCTTCGTGTTGCTGCTCCTCCCCGCGCCCCCCTTCTTCTCATCCCCCCATTCGCCTCCTCCTCATCCTCCTCATCGTGCTCTTCATTATGCTTTCTGCTCCAGGCCGCCCGAATGCTCATCCCCTCTACTCCACTTCCCTCATTTTCCTTTCTCACTCCCTCCCCTCCCTCCCTCCCCCCCCTCGCTCATCCTTTCGTGCTCATCATCTCGGGTCGGGCGAATTTTTTTTCAGGGTAGAGAATGGGGCGGGGGTACGACATCTGCGGCATGCTGCTGATTTCGGCCCCGCTGCTGGACGCATTCGTCGATACACTGGCGCATCCCGCGCCAGAAGTTGCCGGGGACGTCAGCTACGTGAGCTGACTCGCTCTCTCACCCCTTTACTATCCCCTCCCGCTCGTGCATCTCGATCCTTCCCTCCCTCGCGTCTGTATTCCAATGGGGGAATGCGGACAAACAAAGATGTGGATTCGGAGGAGGAGATGGGAATGAGGAGAAGGACGAGGAGGAGGAGGAAACAAGGAGATGAGGAGGATATGTGGAGGAGATGAGGAGATGAGGTGGAGATGAGCAGGAGATGAGGAGGAGCAGGAGGAGATGAGCAGGAGTTGCGGAGATGAGCAGGAGATGAGGAGGAGAGGAGGAGGAGGAGGAGGATGAAGAGGAGGAGGAGGAGGAGGGGGAGGAGGAGGAGGAGGAGGAGGAGGAGGAGGAGTGCAAGGGCCAGTGCCGCTCTGCAGCAGCAGGGCATCGGCGCGCAGGACGTCGAAGGATGGATACCAGTGGGCATCGGGTGCGAGGGAGGAGGCCGACAACGACGATGAAGAGGGAGGAGCGAGGCGCTTCCTTGCGTATACGTGGCGGATGTAGGGGGCAGGATCTGCGTAAGGGGTCGCAAACACGAATTTGAGTTGAGGGGTATGTTGAAACCAGGGGGTGGCGGTTGAGGGGGGCAAATGTGAGTTTATGTCCCAGGGCTGTGCCTCGGCAGTCAAGGCCGCCCAAATTAAGAGAGCGAAAGATTGCGTAAAGACAACAATTCGGAGGTCGGCGCGGATTTCTCGGATCGGCGCTGGACCCCCCTCCCTGGCGCGCGGAGCGTGCCAGGGGCGGCGCCGGAGGCGCCGCCAGGGGGCCCCAGCGCGGATCCGAGGAATCCGCGCGGACCTCCGATTTTTTATGTTTATGCCACTGTTTGTTCCCCTATCCTTGTCAAGGCTGCCCAACTGGGGTCGAAGTACAAGGCGCTTAAACAAGCACCGCTAGGGGTTCGGAAGGGGCTCGCTGTTCCGTATGTCCTTCCACGCCTGTTCTTCGGAGCGTCTTCGAGCACGCAGGCGCTTGTAGGGCCGAAAAGGGGTTCCGTTCTTTATGTATCGTTCCTCCTTCCAGCATATGGAGGCTCGGTAGATGACGCCACAGTCGGCGATGCGGTTCGACGCGGGGCCATCCAAGAGGTTGTGTATACCCTCTTGGCCTCGGCCAGGACGGCGCCTGCGCCATCCGAGGCAGGCCCCCTGGTCTCGAACGGCAGTGGTGTACCCAGACATGCGAAGTCCTGATTTCTTTTCAACACGGGGTCCCCAGAAGTCCCGGCTTTTCTCCCTGGGGCTGGGTTTTCATTCCCCGCCTTCCCCGTCCAGCTCGCGACGGCTGGCCAGCCGGCGCGTGGCAGTCTGTGCGCGCGTGTTTGCCGAGGGGCCTCCCAGACCTCGGTGGACGCGTTCGGGCGGGCCCCCGCATGCCCTGGAACAGCAATGCATCGGGGGTGGACAGACCTACCCTGACACGTCGATTAGCGAATTGGCCGTTTTCGGTTCGCGAGAGGGCGTCGCGGCCGTCATTTTTGCGGGTCCAAGTCCGTCGGTTTCGGTCCCAGGCCGTTTTCAGTAAAGGGTGGTTAATTAAAGGGAGATTTGTCCACCGCCGAATGCAATTTGAGTCGTCCATATGCTTGTCTGTGTCGCGCTCGGCTCGTCCTCATTCTGGCCTCCAGGGGCCCTCTTCGGGCCCCGGGACCGTCAGAAACGGACCGGGGATGAGAAACAGCCCTCAGGGAAGTCCCGCAGATGATTCTTCGACACGGCCTGCGAAAGTTGCTTTGCTTTTCCAGTAGGGCACAAGACCAGGACAAACCGTTCCATTGCGTTCCGAAACGCTCTCAGAGCGATGTGGAGCTTTCTGGAACAGCCGCGCCGCCCGATCCATCCTCCAGCACCGACCGGTCCCAGAGGTAGTCCAGAGGTCCCCAATTTTTCCCGGTCCGAGTGCATGCAAAACGTCTATTAAGGACGGGTGGTAAGGACGCAAGACCCTTGCAGAACGAAGTTGGGATTTTTTGGACGGCGGGCGACCAGCAACAACGGCAAAGGACAGGCGCAGACGCAAGGACGCAAGCAACGGTACCATGGATGGAGGCGCGCGTCCTTACTAGGCGCGTTGACTGTATGTCCTGGTCATGGCTTCGTCTTGCGTCTTTCGTCTCTATGGGGCCTCCGGACGCTCCACGTACGGCCACGGCCGGATCCGGCTCCGACGGTCTGCGCACCTCGGCCACGCGCACAGGGGCGTAGGGGGAGGGGGGGAGGCTTCCAGGAAGCACATCTGTTTCTTAGAAGGCGCGATTGCTCTATGGATGTAAGGCTGGCGCCTTTCAGAGGCAGCTTCCTCCTGGGAAGCCTCCCCCCCTCCCCCATACCCCCCTCTGCGAGCCGCCAAGCAGAGCGTATCGCATGAGGGATCAAGGGGACGACAAGCAGGGCTGGACCTGAACACTGTTTTGCTGGACTCCGGCTGTGCTCTGTTTTTCGTTCTGGCAGGGAGGCAAAGGATAACAGGTAGAGCAGAACGAACAAAAACAAAACGAAATAACAAGGCTCATGATGTTCCAACCTACTTCAGCCTTGATCACCAGGAACAAAAATCGAGCGCCAGAAACAAAACACGAAACTCAAGGGTTTTCACGTGCCGGGCCCTGGGAGACACTTGCCCGACACTGCTTCGACACCCTTTTGGCACTCTTTTGACCCTTTTCTGGGTGCTCGAGAAACTAGTTCTGGGATGCGGTCCTTAAGTAGGATGGGAACAACATAAGACAAGACGAGAAGCAGCGGTTTGTGCCCAGCCCTGTCGACGAGGGGCCCCCGAGCGCGGGCCGGGCCCTGGCACCTGGCGCCCGTCTGCGGAGGCCAAGGCGGCGGTCCTTGGCCGCCCCGGGCCTCCCAGGGGGGCCCCTCCGCGGGCCGCTGGGCCCGGTCGCAGTCGGGAGGAGAAGAGACGCCCAGGCACATCGGGGGCGGAAAAGAGGGGGGTGATGATTAGGGAGGGGTGGATATCATGGCGGGGGCCATGATATTTCCCCAGATTTCGTGGCGCCTCTTCTTGTTTCATTCCGTCCCTGGCCCCCCCGCTGGGCCGCGCACATGCCGCCGGTCATGATTTGCACCCCCCGCTCTTGGACACCCCCCTCTTGGCCGCTCCCGAGCACAGTGCAGCCTCGATTCCCCAGAAGATGTGGGAAAGCATGTGGGGAGGTGGGGGGGGGGGAGGCAAACACCGAGGACGTGTGGGAACATGTGGGGGAATCCTGTTGTCTGTGTCTCTATTCATTGGTGTGTCCCAGGGCCCCTTCACACAAGTCGCAGCTGGCCCCCCGACCACTCCCCGAGTCCTCGGGGGTGGACAGAAACCCGGCCCTGACACGTCGATTCGTGAATTGTCCGTTTTCGGTTCTCGAGAGGGAGCCGCGGCCGGCATGTTCCAGGCTTGCGCCCGCCAGGTTTGGGCCCGAGGTCTTTTTCACCAAGCCGCGTTTTGCTAAAGGGGGTTCTGTCCATTCTCGAGCCCATCCTGTCCCTTGGCATCGCTCGGACGAGTGCGTTTTGTTTGGTCGGCGAGGCCGGTGCCAGAATATGTTGACAATTCGCGGGCAGTTGGGATCACCTTTGTGCGAAAACCATGCGCGGAGCCGCACATTTACGGGGAATGGACGTCCGAGCGATGACAAGTGTCCCGTTCTTCATCCAACCACATGCTTTCACTGTCTTGGGGCCCAGAAGCGAGGCCGGCGATTCCTTCTGATTCGCCTCCCCCCCTCCTCCCCGGACATCCAACGTTGTGTCTGTTGCATCCGCCTGGTGGTGTTGGGCCCGCGTCTCCTCTCCTCTCCTCCTCCCATCCCTGCTTCTCCTCCCATCCCTGCTTCTCCCTCCCTCCTCCTCCCTTTCCTCCTCTCCTCCTCCCTCTCCTCTCCTCTCCTGTCCTCTCCTCCCCTCCTTCCTCTCCTCCTCCTCTCTCCTCTCTCTCCTCCCTCCTCTGCTCTCCGCGTTCCCATTTGGGCACGCCCCTTACGCTCTTCCTGGCCTGGCTCCTGGCCCATGGACAGTCTCCATGGCGGCGCCGCACCAATTTCGGCACACCGCCCAAACGCTGCCCGCGCCATAGGGAGCCCCGCCGCAGGCCCCAGTCGGAAAGTTCGCATGGCGGTGCCGCACCCATGTCGGCCCACCCCTCACACGATCGTGACCCTAGTTGGAGCCTGGCGCGCAAAATCTGGCGTGGCCCCATGGGGAGCCCCACCGCAGGCCCATGTGTGAAAGTTCGCATGGCGGCGCCGCACTACTTTTGGCTGCCCCTTCACACGCTTCGTGGCCCCATATGGAGCCCCACCAGACGCCCCAATTGCGTAGTTCGCATGGTGGCGCCGTGCCTATTCCTGGCATATCGCTCACGCGTTTCGTGGCCCCATAGTGTGCCCAGGGAGCCCCACCGAAGGCATTAGTTGGAAAAGCATTACGGCGATGCCACGCAAAAACATCGGCACACCCCTTTCGCGCTTCGTGGCCCTATAGGGAGGTCCTCCTCATTTGTCCCACCTGCCTTGCGATGCCCAGGCCTGGATCTGATTGGCCCCCCGTCGCCATGCTGTTCTGCACACCGTGGCCCTGCAGAGGTCTGGACCCCTTCCCGCGAACCAGAGTCTTATCCGTAAGGGTTCCAGAGGCGCCAACAATTGCCTCATTTTGACCGGGATCTGGAGGCTTCGGGGCGCCACTATTGCATGATCTGCGAGGGGGGCGTGGCCTCGGCGGCGCGCACCTGGCGAAACTGCAGGAAACACGTGGCCTCGGGGGCGCGAATCGCCAGTGAGCTACGTGGGTCGGGGGTGGACGGAAGCCCCACCCCGACGCGCCGATTCGTGAATTGTCCGTTTTCTGTTCTCGAGAGGGCGCCGCGGAGGCTCGCGCCCTCCAGGTTTGGGCCCGAGGTCGTCCTCACGAAGCCACGTTTTGCTAGAGGGGTTTCTGTCCATCCCCGAGTGGGGTCGGGGCCTCGGGGGCGCGAGTCCGGTTTCATGTGCGGGGGATCGTGGCCCTGGGGGCGCGAACCCTGCGTTAATTGACAGGAAGGATCGTGACCTCTCGGGCGCGGATCGCATGAGTTATTTTCGGGGGCGCGAGTATTGAGCAATGTCCCCGCGTCGCTTCTGTTCCGCGCGTGCCCGCTGTAGGTGCTGCCCTGTTCCACGTAGGCCTGGCTTTCGATCGACCTACTGACGCAGCGCGGCCTTCCTCCGCTAGCGGTCGGTAAACAAGAATATTGAGCAATGTCAGGGGCACTGTGGCACTGGGGGCGCCAGCCCTCTGTATTACGTGTCCCAGGGCGTCCCAGGGAAATCTGAGAACCCCGGGAGGCCGTGGTCACCAGGGCGGTTTTTGGCTCCCCGCCTCGCTCGGACCACTAACAGCGTATAGCAGGAAACAGGGTGTCGAGCTGTAACATCGGAGACTGGAAATTGAAAATTGCACAAGAACGGTGACTGGGGCCGAGGAGCTCAAGATTGGTACCTGTTGCTGAAACCCGACCCCTCTCACGCTGGCGGCCCCGCACGGGGGACGGGGCGCGCGACGAGGCGCCCACCGGAGTCGAGCCTGCGGCGCACGGACATCAGCTGCCCTGTATGCAGGTGCGCGGGCTGCGGAGCCGCAGGCCGACGCGGAGGGGGAGGATGATTTCTCGCCTTCCTCGATGGGTGAGATGCGACGCTGCGTGGCCGAGTCTATCAGGATGAAGTTGCCCGACATTGCGGCGAAGGGTGACGACGTGGATGTCCACATGATGGAGGCCACTCAGAAGGCCGACCATTCCCTGACGTGGATCGCCCGCTTCTCGTGAAGCGATGCCAGTCCGACGCAGCTAGAGACATCCAGACGCCCCAGGATTGCGAGCAGCCGCTCCTCGCGGCGCTTTAGGCAATCAGCGACGCCGACACGGTTATCTTCATGATCGGACCCGGGCCCGAGCTCGACGCCTTGAGTCTTTCTGTTTAGCGGCGCGCCTAGACATGCAGCCCGCTTTTGTCGCCAGCGTGCAATATAATACATGCGTCGTAACGGCGGCGCTGCCGGTGCCCCGAACGCACTGCCAGCTCCAGCACCAAAGCCGCCGTAGTCCCAGCTCTGGCGCGGTCGACATGCTGTTGCCGCGCCGCCTGTGTAATTCAGACAGCGCGGTGCTGCTCGCCGGGCGGTTCCGGTACAGGTGCCGGTGCTGCTTCGTAACGCTAGCGCGGGCGGTTCCGGTACCTCCGGCGCGCCACTCTGGTCAGCACAGTGTTTCAGCTGCGCGTGCCTTCATGCACCGCGTCTCGACGACGAGACGCTACTCCGAGCTGCCTCTGCGCGCTGCGTGTCGCCGACTGGCGTCGTAGCTGGGCGCTCGGCTTCACAGTAGCTTTCTGTGCTGCTACGATGGCGCAAATTTGATACGACGAATTACTTTTATTTCGCGTCTGAATTTCTTGCACAGGCAGGGAGTCAGCGGCATCGCTATGCTTGGCTTCGATGCGCGAGACGCCGCGGCCCGGCCCCACTAAAGGGGGTTGGCGCTGGCTTGGGCAGGTGTGCGATGTCTGGATCGCCGACTGGCATTCGATGTCGCGCGGACGCCCTCCGCCTTAGCCGCAGCTGTTTTTTGTTCCAGCCGCGCCCAGCCTCCACAGGAGGACCGCGCGTTTGGGGCAGGCGTGAGAGGAACGGGGAGCCCTTCGATCCCCGGTCGACAAAACAAGTTCTCGTTGACGGTCGCGGCGCCCAGCGAGGGCCCCCAGAGGCTGAGCATTAAGGTTCTCTTCCATCGTTGCACGAGAGGCATGCGGCATTCCGCCGACCCCCATGACATTGAATTCGGCAAGGGTCGTGCGACCATTCCTGGCCTGTGGGTCAGGTGCCTCCGGATGCATGTAAAGATTTCCTGGAAGGCCCTTCGCGGGCCTCTTGGAGGGCCTTTGGGGGCGTCGGATTTGCCTTTGAGGGCTGATCGTGATTTCTTCACGACGCGAGGAGGTCGTGGTTCCACATTGCTCCCTCTCTCTCTCTCTTCCTCCCTCCGCCCATCAGGGAGGTCATGTCAGGGGGGGCCCGCTGCAGCGAGCGAGCGTCGGCCGCTTCTGCGGGCCCTGTCTTGGAAAGGGGGTTCGGACGAGGGCGGCTAGCGCTTCTTCGCGCTGGCATCAGGGCCAGCCCGCGCCAGGCCAAGTGGGGGGGGGGCCCGCTGCCCCCCCGGCCAGCCCCGCGAGGAGGCGCGCAGACTGGTGGTCAAGGAGCCGCCCTCCCGAGGGGGGCGATCGCTCCGCCGATGTCATCGTCAACGTCATCGACATCGTCGTCGGCGGCGTCGTCGTCGTCGTCGTGGTCGTCGTTGTCGTCGTCGTCGTCCGCCGCCGTCGCCGTCGCCGTCGCCGTCGCCCGTCCCAATCGCCCGTCGTCGTCGTCGTCGTCGTCGTAGTCGTCGTCATCGTCGTCGTCGTCGTCAGTTGCTGTCGTCGTCGTAGTCGTCGTCATCGTCGTCGTCGTCGTCGTCGTTGTCGTCGTCGTCGGTCGTCCGTCGTTGTCGTCGTCGTCGTCTTTGTCGTCGTCGTCGCCGTCGTCCTTCGTCGTCGTCGTCGTCGTCGTCGTCCGTCGCCGTCGCCGCCGCCGTCACCGTCGCCGTCGCCGTTTCCGTGGCCGTCGCCGTCGCCGTCGCCGTTACCGTCGCCGTCGTCGTTTCCGTTGCTGTCATCGTCGTTGTCGTCGTCGTCGCCGTCGTCCGTTGCCGTCGTCGTCCGTAGCCGCCGTCGTTGCCCGTACAATCCGTTAGCCGAGGACCGAGGACCGAAGGTCGAAGTGCGGTGGACGATCGAGCATCACAGGAGACGTCTGCTCTGGTCGATCAGGAATGATGTTCGGAGGAGTGGGTCTCTCCCTCTCTCCCTCGCCCCAGTCCTCCATCAGAGCCTCCTCCTCAGGCCTCCGTTGTCGTGTTTGGTTTCCCCAACCTGGGCCCACCTCTGAGGTCCGAGAGAGCGTCTTCTATATATTGTTTTTCGCGGGCACCAGCGTCCCCTGCTTTGGAACCGCCCTTCACCCCTCGAAAATTCTCCCCCCCCTCTACGGAATTGGCCCTCCACCCATTCCTCCTCCCCCGGCGAAACCCCACCCCCCGTTCCCCACCCCGCGACCCCCCCACCCCATCCTTTCTGAGAGCCGGGGGGGGGGGGCAGCCACCCCGCACCGCCCCTTCCGCCGCGTCGTCGACGTCGTCGTCGTCGTCATCGTCGTCGTCGTGGTCGTCGTCGTCGTCCTCGCCGTCTGACAGCGAGTCCATCGGTCGGGCGGGCAGGACACGAAGTCTACGTTATGGACGAGTCTGTCGGGCGGCCGGGACACGTCGTCGTCGCCGTCGTCGTCATCGTTGGTGCCGGAGCCTGGCGTCGGTCGGACGGGCTTGGGAGAAGCGTCGTCGACGTCGTGGTGGGCTAGTGTGTCGGGCGGGCGGGACGTCGTCCTCGTCCTCGTCCTCGTCGTCGTCCTCGTCCTCGTCGACGTCGTCGTCGTTCTTTGCCGGCGAGTCGGTTGGTCGGGTAGGCGGGCCGGGCACGTCGTCGCCGGAGCAATCAGGCGGGCGGGTGGGACAGGTCGTCGTCAATCTTCATCATCGTGAGCGTCGTCGTCTTCAACCTCGTCGTCGTCGTCGTTGACGTCGTCGTCGTCTACCGGCGCCAGGGGTCGTCGCCATCGCCGTCGTCGCCTTAGTCGTTTTCGTCGTCGTTGTCTTCGTCGTCGTCGTATGCGAGTTCGTCGGTCGGGCGGGCGGGTTGGACATGTCGTTGACGTCGTTGTGGGCGAGTCGATTGGTTCGACGGGTGGGACACATCGTCGTCGTGTGAGGCAGGGATATAAACCCATACTCCCGCGCTCCCTACTTTCAGAGGGGTGGGGGTGGACCCCCCCCGACTTTCTCCCAGCTTACTCAGAAGGCGCTCTTTCAGAGGGCTGTACCCCCTCCCGGGAACTGGAAAATTTAATCTCTTCTGGCTGTCATTGTTGACGACCGCGGGGCCTGGCGCGGAGGCCGAAGACAGCTAGAAGTCTTCCGCTGTGCTTCTTGCTCACGGCGCGAGGAGGTCAGGGTTCTCCGCCCCCTCCCCCATCCTCTGTTCCTTTCCTTACAATTAGGTCGGGCCTGTCCCTCTACAGAAGGAATATCCAAAATTGTGAAACAAATAATATTGGGACGTTTTTTGTTTATATATCATTTTGGACTATTTGGGTGTATTTTGCTAGTATTTTTAATTCGCAACCCTCCTGCGTTGGGTTCTCGTTTTGAATAGAGCACTGCTCGCGCGAACCTTCACGCCCCCCCCCGTCCCTCTCTTCCCCCCTGCCTTCGCTCGTCGCGTTTCGAGGGCTGCTGGGGGCTGCGATCTGTGAAACTGTCGCCACTTTCGAGGGCTGCTGGGGGGCCCAGCACAGTGGGCACCCACGGCGGATTCAAATTGGACCTCGCCATCCTTGGGAGGTTGCGATCTGTGAAACTGTCGCCACTTTCGAGGCCTGCTGGGGGGCCCAGCACAGTGGGTACACACCGCGGACTGAAATTTGACCTCGCCATCCCTGGGGGGCTGCGATCTGTGAAACTGTCGCCACTTTCGAGGCCTGCTGGGGGGCCCAGCACAGTGGGTACCCACGGCGGACTCAAATGGGACCTCGCCATCCCTGGGGGGCTGCGATCTGTGAAACTGTCGCCACTTTCGAGGCCTGCTGGGGGGCCCAGCACAGTGGGTACCCACGGCGGATTCAAGTAAGACTTCGCCATCCCTGGGGGGCTGCGTGCGGATACAGTGACTTGTCGCCACTTTTCGAGGGCTGCTGGGGGGGGCCCAGCGCAGTTGGGTCCCACGCTGCGCAGATTCAAATGGTGACCTCGCCATCCCTGGGGGGCCTTTCGTTGCAGCGGTGTCGCCCGCTTTCGAAGGGCCTGCTTGGGGGGGTTCCACGCCGCGCAGTGGGTTACCCACGGCGGATTCAAAAATTGGAACTGCCATCCCTGGGGGGCCCCTGCGATCAGTTTGAACATGTCGCCACTTTCGAGGGCTGTTTTAGTTTTTTTGGGGGGGGGGTGGCCCAGCACAGTGGGTACCCACGGCGGCATTCAAATGGGACCTCGCCATCCCTGGGGGGCTGCGATCTGTGAAACTGTCGCCACTTTCGAGGGCTGCTGGGGGGCCCAGCGCAGTGGGTACCCACGGCGGATTCAAGTTAGACATCGCCATCCCTGGGGGGCTGCGATCTGTGAAACCGTCGCCACTTTCGAGGCCTGCTGGGGGGCCCAGCACAGTGGGTAGTCACCGCGGATTCAAATCAGACCTCGCCATCCCTGGGGGGCTGCGATCTGTGAAGCTGTCGCCACTTTTGAGGCCTGCTTGGGGGCCCAGCACAGTGGGTACCCACGGCGGATTCAAATTGGACCTTGCCATCCTTGGGAGGTTGCGATCTGTGAAACTGTCGCCACTTTCGAGGCCTGCTGGGGGGCCCAGCACAGTGGGTACACACCGCGGACTGAAATTTGACCTCGCCATCCCTGGGGGGCTGCGATCTGTGAAACTGTCGCCACTTTTCGGGGCTTCTGGGGGGGGGGGCCCAGCACAGTGGGTACCCACGGGGATCGGATTTCAAATGGGAACCTCGCCATCCTGGGGGGCTGCTCGATCTGTGAACCGTCGGCACTTTCGGGGCTTTGTGGGCATCCCAGCACAGTGGGATACCCACGGCGGATTGGCGGATGGATTTCAAATTGTGGTCGCCAGGAGGAGGTTGAGGTTTGCGATCTGTGAAACTGTCGCCACTTTCGAGGCCTGCTGGGGGGCCCTGCACAGTGGGTACTCACCGCGGACTCAAATTAGACCTCGCCATCCCTGGGGGGCTGCGATCTGTGAAACTGTCGCCACTTTCGAGGCCTGCTGGGGGGCCCAGCACAGTGGGTACACACGGCGGATTCAAATTGGACCTCGCCATCCCTGGGGGGCTGCGATCTGTGTTTACCCTCCTATTTCGCGTGAAACTATGTCGGCCACTTTCGAGGCCTGCTGGGTGGGGCCCAAGCACGTTGGGTAACACCGCGGGCTGGAAATTAGACCTCGCCATCTTTGGGGGGCTGCGATTCTGTTCGAAACTGTCGGCCACTTTCGAGGCTGCTGGGGCGCTCAACACAGTGGGGTACCACGCGGATTGAAAATTTGGGACCTCGCCACTTTCGAGGCCTGCTGGGGGGCCAGCACAAGGGGGTACACCACCGCGGACTTGAAATTTGTCCCTTCGCATCCCTGGGGGGCTGCGATCTGTTGAAAACTGTCGCCACTTTCGAGGCCTGCTGGGGGGCCCATCACAGCGACGCCCGATGCGGATTCAAATTAGACCTCGCCATCCCTGGGGGCTGCGATCTGTGAAACTGTCGCCACTTTCGAGGGCTGCTGGGGGGTCCAGCACAGCGACGTCCTACGCGGATTCAAATTAGACCTCGCCATCCCTGGGGGGCTGCGATCTGTGAAACTGTCGCCACTTTCGAGGCCAGCTGGGGGGCCCAGCGCAGTGGGCTTCCCGCACGTCTTTCTCCTGCTCTTCGTTCCCGGCTCCCCATGTCCTCTTCGAGCCTGTAGTTGTCGCCCCTCGTTCTTGTATGGTTCTCCTGCGCATCATGCCATAGGCGCGTGTCCCAAGTAGCTTACATATCAAACAACGGATCCTGCAATTTGATTGTCCATGCAAGTTTCGGCCAACTCCTCGTTTCCCATGATACAAATGGGTTGGGTACGTCACAGGGTAATTTTTCGTCTAAAATCGGCCTGAAGAGGGACATGCTCGACTTAACCTTACATATGACTCCTCATTGTCGCGCCCCCAGACGTGTTGGTAGGGCGGGCCGGGCGTTTTGCGCGCGAGACAGTCTGGCATTTGAAGCAGTCGCAAGGATTGAGCACGGGTCGTTCTGCGACGCCTTTGAGGATGGAGCGGCGGTCGTTTTACAATGCGGCTCTCGCCATAGCGCCGCGCACATCTGTCTTAAAGCATTAGCAACATAGTCACAAGGTGTATGGCTGCGCCTTTTCAAAATGGAGCCGTCACCATAGCGCCGCGCACAGTCGCTTCAAACGCTTGCAGCATTTACTCGGATGGAGAGCGGCTCCTTTTTGCAAACTGTGTTTTTGCATTAGATTTGTTTAGTTTAGTACCAGAAGCGACCCCCATGAGAGGTAAGGAGTCAACGGTTCGCCACTGATTTGAG